TGTAAGCTTGACTTAACATAACTCGATTGTTTGATATTGGCATAATAATCTATTAAATAAATTAAATTTATCTAAACTTCAAGGTTATTATTAAAATATATCGAAGTTTTCTGAATAGAATATATATTCAAATAATATTCGTGTTATATATTCGAAATATAATTTGATGAAATACTTTAACTACTATAGTTAATGACTGTTGAGACGATACAAATGTTATCCTTGACATTTATATAAATACCTGCGGGCTAGGCGGCTGAGGTGGTGATTGATATTGAGATTGAGGTAAAAAATTCTTTTCTATAGGTTGCATTGATTGATGAGATGGGAAATTCACACGACTATTATAATCAGCACTAGTTGGTACAGCACCTCTATTAGATAAAAACTTTTTTTCCTGTATTTTTTTTTAATGTTTTATTATGCTGACTAACCGTTGTAAAATGAATTCCAATGTATTATTTAGTCGTTTAATTTGTTCCTGAGCTTCTTGATGTTGAAGATATTCAGTTGATATTGAACCAATTCGAAGAATATAATCATCAGCTCGTATTCCACATCGTTCAGCTAAACTATTTGGATTGACTTGTTGAATTTGTAATGGACAACCAAAATCTCTTCCACCTGAAAAAAAAATAATTCATTCGAATATTCAAATCTTAGAAATTTCATTTTATTTACCCTGCATTCGAAATCCCCATGGTACATTACTAGATTCGCGTTGTATTTTAATATGAAGCATTGTATAAGATGGCATCTTTGTTATGTCAGTTGTTACTAAAGATCTTATTACATATATATATATATCTCAATAATAGAAAATTCATCAATCGCGCTTAAGTCTCATTTTGGTCTACATACGGACAAAATATTAGGTCAAAAGCGATGCTTCATTTGGATATGTTTTCTTGTTGATCAACGAAAAAAAAAATATGTATACAAAAATTTATTTATAAAAGAGAAAGTAAAATGTAAATGTCTATGTATCTTTGAAGATAGATCTTTAATACATATGTATCTATTTGATTGACATAAAATTATTAATTTAAATAAAAATACCTTTTATTAAAAGAATTGTCTAGTCTTTTATTGTAATATGATAAAATACAAATAGATAAGTATTTGATCTTGAAATAAATAACCTTTTTATATAACAATACAGATAATATAAATGCTTATTTTAGACAAGATTTTTTCTACCCTGCTAAGCAATAAATCAGAGAAATAACAATGGTTTTTTTTTATTCTTCTTCTTCTTCTTCTTCCGATTTGGCTGTTGTTGTTATTGTTGATATTTTTCCTTTTCCTATTATCAATAATAAATTCGATATTATGCCAAATATTTTTTTGCTTCGTAAATGCTGCCAATACCTATGATATATCAAGAGATTATAAACATACATATCATTATTGCCACAATTTCTGCTTGTTCTTTTGTCAATCTATATTACTTCGCCGATATATTATTCTGTGAAATAACAAAATGATATTTTCTTGATAATAACAGAACAATATGTTTTTTATCGATAAGAATGTTATACAATGGAGAAAAAAAAGAATTTTGTCTTTGATACTTTTTTATCCGATACAATATTAATAAGTCAACATGTCAATTTGACATGCTTGCTGAGTGTTAATGGTACTTAATTAATTGATTTATTATCTTCACTACATACGATTTTTTAAAATAATTTCTTTAGTTTATTGACTTTTTGTAGTATTTATGTCCATAATAATATCTAAATTCAATATAGGCGACGTGTTAGTTTCGAGTTGGAAAAACCTTGAGCAATAACTAATAGGGCGGAACAATCTATTGAAAAATATGTTTCTTCATCAAAAATATATTATGGAGTCACATTAGACTTCTTTTTTTCAGCATATTCTGAAGAGATCTTTAAGTTCCCTATACGAAACAACGTTTCCATGATTATAGGGCTTAATTGACTCAATGTACATTTGCCTGGATTACATATGGAGATGTATATTGCATATGTATGGCGCTAAGGACTGTGTAAGCTAATATAAAATCACTGAGAATCTTTTTGCGAAATAGATTGAAAATGGATTTAAATTGCCATCTAGCACAGTTTTTACTTGTACAGATGTATCAAGGAAAGTATAAGTGATCTGTTTTTGCTTTATTGACCTGTTAAACTTCCTGGCTGTTGTTTTTTGAATGATGCGTAATTTATCTTACTCTAATCTATGTCAATATGTAAATGAACTGAACTGTATGGTGACAATCATATATATATATATATAGGATGGAAGCCGTTTGTAGTGTATGATGTGTTGACTGATAATAGTACGAAGACTTGTAAGATCATAATAATTTTACATGTGATGTTTTCTTTCATATTCAATGATGATTTGATCAATTGTAGTTGGACTACTTAGATTAACATTTCTGCCTAATGTAACGCTCACCTATATCAGGGATATTTAGGTAATATAACGTGTTCTTATGTAAGCTTGTGGATGCTTTCGAAGATCCTTGTTTGTGGATGGTTCTTTCTTGATGGACCTGGGTATGATAGAATATGACAACGTTACGACATCTTTAAAGCGCTTTACGGCAGCAACACGGTGCCGTATGTGGTCAGTAGTGCCGAGTATATTGTAACAACACAATGTGATATTAAACGACCGTCTACGATGATTCGTAACGATTGACTTATGTTGTTAAATGGAAGTGAGCATGTGTAATATATATTTTGTATTACAAAAAACATGTCCAAGTCGAAAAATATAATGTGGTATACTGTCGTGCAGTCATCTAAATTACGTGAAAGAAAAGTTTTTATTGATATATCAAAACAACCACGAACAGACGTAGGACTTCCGAGTTTTTCAAGTATTGCCACATCGATTCTATCGTTTATGTTCATATCAGATGAAAACGAATGTAGAGAACTGGAGAAGAAAAGTCTCCCATCACTTTATACGATGAACAAATAGTGTTGAATTGAGTGTGGATGAAGAGAAGACGCACACTTACATTCTCATTTTTATTTTCGTTACTGATTCTTATTTTTATTTCCACGTGATCTTTAGTAGATATCTTGCAGACATCGTCTTTCACCCGATCCCATAGAAAAAACTCGAATGACACTACATAACACGATCATAGAGCTCTTTAACTTTACAAACACTCAGAACATGTCATGCGAATACAATTTCACTATAGTTTGATGAAGAGCTCTTTAAAATCATCTTGATTTGGTATTTCTTTGTCAAACTTGATTAGCAGCATTTGTTTCATAATTGTAGATGACTCAAACTTGACCATGAATAGAACAATTTGTATTCTAATCTCTAATGAGTTATGAATACATTGAAAAGAGCTCGGGATCCTTAACTTATTGGTGTTGAGATGCTGCACTTTAACAGTTTTGTTTTATGTCAATATTATGGTCTTTCTCAAGAACACTAGGAAAATTCGCTTTCGATTTTCAACTTGAAATCTTGTATAGAGACAGATCATAACCAAAATAGTTTATTGTGAAAGTTTTCAATCTTTTGATGTGTTTGTTTCCTGAAATAAGAACGACAAATCTGCCGATATATATGAGCAGTGTCAAAGACAAACTTTTATTATAGTTGTATCTTAAGATAGAAACAGCGACATGATCCGCAACATTCACAATAAACTATTTTCTTCAAGGTCTGTCTCTATTCGAAATTTCAAGTTAAAGTTCGAAAACAAATTTTCCTCGTGTTCCTAAGGATCACCACGATATTAACTAAAAAAAATACCGTAAAAATGCAATATCTCGACAGCAATATCCTAAAAGCTCGAACTCTTTTTAGTATATTTATAGCTCATTACGTGCTACATGATGCATACATTTCATACTCAAAGGCGATTAACCAGTTGCAATGCTGTCCTCCTCAGTCTCTCTATTTTTTACGAAGTTTCGGATTGAAATTCAAAACTATGATTTTCGCGCATAGTTGCAGCTCAATAGGAAAAATTTACTAATAGCAATTCATTACATCGACTATAATGCACAATGGATCTGAATCCTGTTAAGATTATTCTACTCTAGAAGATCTCAATATGTAACCAAACCATGCATTCACTAGTGATGAATTATTTCGAGCAGTGCCATTTTCTGACAAACTTTTATCAATTACTATTCTAGACTTATGAACAAAAAGAAATCTATTAGTAAATTTCTTCCTTCCTCAAAATATGAAACCCTAGATCTTCTATTATATCCGACGTCAAGTTTAATCAACAATGCTGTCAATCGTTCGAGTATCTAAAAACAAAAATGCTTTTCCAAAGAAAAATAGCTTTTTTTTTTTTTCGTTTTCTTCATATAATAGCAAATATCAAACCTTTTTTAATTGCCTAACCTATGTTTCAATATTGATATTATCTTTTTTTCTTTGTTTTTGTTCTTCTTTATTTTATACATTTACGAGTTGTTCAATCAGACGACAAGAAAAAGTACACTAGTATTTTGGTTTGTTTTTTTTGTTTTTTTTTTTTCATTTTATGGAAAAGAAAGAGAAAATATAAAGTAAAGTAAATTGTTTTCTTGTAGAAAACTAATTTTAAATAGAACTCATGAAGCAAAAGAAAGAATACGAGTAATATGACAACATTAAAGGGCGATACCAAGAAGAAAACGAGAATTACATATAAAATAAGAAAAGAATAAGTCCAAATGTTTGATTCCACTAAGCTTTTGGCAAAGCTAAAATAAAGAAAAAAAAATAATAAATAAATAAATTCTAAAAAATCATATAAAACAATATATATTAGTATTTAAAAGCAAGAAAAGTATTACTCAAATATGATGATTACATACACACATAGAGAAAAACAAAATAAAAAATGACAGACCATTGAAATGTTTCTGTCAAATTATTTCATAAAGCTTCAATGATTTCTATAACAATGAGAATATTTATTTTCTTATTATACACATCGAAATATGTTAACTTCAAAAAAAAAAAGAAAAAGAATAAAACAAAGAAGAAACCTTTTAACGGTAACTATGATGAATAGTTCGTAGTTCTTAGAAGAATATAAAGTTTCAGAAAAAAAGAAAAAAAAAAATTAAATATTTATTTTAACTTACTTTCATAAGCTTCACTTGCAAAATATTGAACATCATGATCAACATCTTGAGTTAATTTTTCTAAACAAGGCTTAACATGCATAGCTAATGCACTAAAAAAATAAAACAATTAAATATAAAACAAAAAAAAAAAGAAATCTCTTTTATTTACCTTGAATCAAGTACTGGATAAATACGTTGTAATGTTTTAGCTACATTAAATCGTACATTAGCTACGGCATCACCAGCAAGTGTAATGACGGTTGGTAACATCATTCTTTGTGTTATTTCTTGACCACAAGGTTCAGCTAAGATCTATAAAAAAAAACAAAAAAGAAAAAAAAAGATTTTTATTCGAAATATAAAAGAAATAATTTATCTACGTTAATAGCGAATAGACAAGTCATTCGATACAAATAATTTTGATCACGAGCTAATTGTATAACTTTTGGTATGACTGTATTTTGTGCCCAATCACGACCAAATTTTTCAACTAATTTTTTTAAATTATTTGTTGCTGCTTCACGTATAGCAAAGACATGATCAGTAAGCCAACTCATACAAAGACTACTAAGTTTTTCATCGAAAAATTCTGGACCCTATATAAATCAAATTTTCAGATAAAAAACAGAAATAGATATTTAACTTACTAATTGTCCAGCTAAAAGTGGCATATATTCAATAATACCTAGACGTACACGCCATTTAGCATCACTAGCTAGTTCAACAATAGCCGGAAGAAGACTTTGAGATAATTGACGAACGCCAATGACCTTTGAATACATATATATATATAATGAATAGTTGATCATGTAAAAATATTTTTTAGAATAACGTTAAAGAAAATCATTTTATCTTTTATAGATATAGAGTGAAGGCGATCCTTCTGCTCAAGACACATTTTTACATCCAAGTTTTCATTCTGTGTGATAGTTTTAGGCTTTGATCTTATCAATAGCTGTATACTAACCGACTTCTCAAAACCTATTGCTTTGAAAAAGATATAACGATATGCATTCTAGAGTCCAAAATTTAGCTAAGATTGATACTGGAGTCCTGTTTGACAAACTTTTTCATGTTCCGAATCCCGTTTGTCCTATTGACTAAAATGCGACTGACTGCTATTCACTCACTGAGTTATCATGACAAAGTTTTCTTTTTTTCTTCTCGATGTATTAGTCAAGAATCTCGTTTCCCACACCTAACCATCATTTCTAAATGAGAAAAAAGTTTGCTGATGCATATCTGAAATCCATTTTTCAAAAACTCAATTCCGCTTCGAGGTCTTAAAGATATGGAAAACGATAATTAACAGCTGAGAACTTCCTCATGTGATTATACATGACTCAATTGGAAAAAAATCATTAATATTTCAGATTCTATATGCAATAGTTGGTTCAGATTCATTATCTCTTAACTTGTCAGCTGAACGTGACTGAAATTCATTATGATTTCCTCTATGAAAGACTAAGATTTAGAAATAGCAGTTGTCGTCTAAGAACGCGTTCTAACATTTTTCGGGCTCGTACAGTCAGTCGCTTTTTCCAATCAGGCTTCTAAACCTCTTCTTCATAAATCGACCTTGGGCCAGGTATATTCAAATTGTATGAAATTTCCAGCATATGTTACGGCTATAGTGAAGAGGCTATGTTAAAACTTTCAGTCCTATACTATCATGTTTGCGTGAAATATTCAACAAACAAAGGTCAAAAAGAGTCTATTTGACAATCTGGAATTCTCGGTGAGCCTTTATTTTATATATTTTTCTTATTTGAAGGAACATGTCAGACAGAGTCCTTTTTTTATATAATAATAAAAAAACGAACACGGCAGGTTCTCATGTTCTTTCAAAAAAAAAGCAATTAGCTACACTGCAACTCCTTCGAGAATTTTGGAATGTACGATCAGAAGAATATAAATAGCGAAAAACATTTATCACTTTTGTTTTTGATGAGCATCCTTAAATAAAGTTTTATATATAATTACACAGCACAAAATTTCATCCAAAAAAAAAAACAACTTGAAAATTAAAATTACTCTATTTCAAATTCTATTAATTCCTTTAGATAAATCATACCTCATTAATACATTCAAGATTTGAAATAATATTAAGTCGAACTTCTGGATAATCATCTTTTAATTGATTAAGAAAAAGTGGTAAAAGATGTTCAAGTGTACTACAAATGATAAAAGAAAAAATAAATAATTCTCTTACTATCAAAAAAAATACTTACTTATCCTTTCCAAGTATAGGTGAAAGACCCATTATAACCGATGCTAATGCTGATTTAACATGTTGATTCATATCACCAACCATATCTTTAACACATGGTAATATTTGTGACATAATTATTTGTTCACGTGTATCAGCTGATAAATTATTACAAAAATCTTTTAATTTTGATGCTGCTGCAGCACGTACTTCAGCTTCAGGATCTTTTAATAAAGAACTATAGGCGCCAACTAAATCATTTTTTGTTATTTCTGGACCAACAGCTTTTTGAAGCTATATATATATATGAAATGTTTCTATTTATATAAATCAATATTAAATAACTTACATCAACAAGTTTATCAGCAACAACATAGCGTACACGCCATGATTTATCTTCTGTTGCTGAACGTAATGTTTGCATCATTTGTTGTTCAAGATCTTCATGTCGAAATAGACCAGCCATAGCAATACCAGCTTCAACAGCTAATAAACGTACACTATCTTGTTCATCATTTGCCAAATTTGTAAATAATGGTACAAATTCTTGACGTAAATATTCCGGTTCAACAACTTTAGCAAATTCACCTAATTTTGCTGCTGCTGCACGACGTACCATGGGTGTATCATCTTGACAAAGACTTTTAAATAATCTTAAAAAAAAAAAAAAAAAAAAAAAAAAAAGAAAATTTCAATTGAATACAAACAAAAATCTTTACTGTCGTAATTCGCCTTTAACATGATTTGAAACGCGTGCATAACAAACAGATATAAGACCTGATGCTGATGTACGTGATGTAAACCAATCACCTTGTGCTAAACGTTTAACTGTTGGTACAAAATATGTTTCTAAATCAGTTGTTGAATGTTGTGGTGCTAATGTACGTAATGATTCAACAGCTTTATCACGTACAATTGTTTCTTCAACTTGAGCTAAACTTTCCAATGGAGGCTAAATGAGATAAGATTTCAAAAAAGAAAAAAACATAATAAATTAATTCTATTTTCATACCAATAAAACATGAACATAACTTTCACCACCAACAAGTTGTGTAAATGTACCTAATTGTTCAGCTAATGCTAAAAGTACTTCATCTTCATCATAAATAGTGTCTAGATGCAAAAAAAATCATAAGATTTCAATTATTAATTAAAAAAAAAAGAAATTAACCAGTTAGAAATGGTATAAGTTCAGATCGTGTACGTTCAACACCAAGTGCTAATGCAATAGTGGATAATTTTTTTATGCTATTTAAACGTAACTAACAAATATCAAAAGTAATGAGAAAGAATATTTTTCTTTATTGAAACAACAACAAAAAAAATTTACTTGAACGTCTTCATTACGTAATTCATCGATTAAAACAGCAATTGGATAAAGACTTTCATCAGATTGAACATCTCCAGAAGCCATTTTTGTCTTTAGTAAAAATTGAAATCTAAAGATTAGTACAAAAAAATATATCGAAAATATAATTAGATGAGCATGATGGTAACATCACAACGAAGGAATGAATACTAAGTTTAATAACACAATATAGAAAAAACCATTAAGATATTACTATTGCCTCACTATGTTGTAATCTTATGACATCTATCGACTTCGGAATCTTATAATATTTTATCTCAGTAAGGTAACAGTCGTTCATTATCCAAAGGAAGCAGTGCATTATAAAATTCTCAATAGTCAATTATGCTGAGATAAATGAGTATATCTCATTTGAATTGAATAATCAGTGTTCAGCATATACTGCTCAAAATGCTCAAATTGGACAATAAAATACGGCGAGTGTGGATGTGGGTGTGAATGAATACCAGATCTACACTCACACCCACAACCTTGTATAGCTTTCAGCCATAATGTTTTGTTTTTATTGTTTATCAACGTTAATCATATTACTAAGAAAAAATTTCATACATATTTTTAACATAAGAAAAATTGATTCTATTCATCATCATTTTCTATTCAATCATAACATAAATTATACTCGACATCTTTATGATGCTTTGATAAAATTTGTATATTTTTTTTTGCCTTGACGTCAAACAATATGAAATTTGTTTTGAATGAAAAAACTAAGAAATCATACCGTTCGAATGCTGAGTCAATAATGTATTTTGGATTAACTAGGTAAACTTATTGTTGGTACATCACATACATAAAAATATCAAACGAATCGAACAGACAAAATAAGGTATAATTTCTTTCTTTTTAAAATTAAATATAATATCACTGAAGCTACTGATATTGTAAAGAGATGATTAAGCAATATATGTTTCGTTTTACGAATTCCTACCGATTATTAATGTATGTCGATGATGAAAGATATTAATCGCAATATACTGTAGTGAGTGTAAAAGAAAAGTAAAGAACAACTATCATCTTAATCCAGCAGTGGACTTCAATCTCGCGGTTATGTCTGTCACAGCCGGTATTGGCTCTTTAATGATGTTTATCATGTTTGTAGGCAGTCCGGGTGGGAATAGTCGAAATTTCTACTCCTGTTAGATTGTGTTTCACAAAAATCAGTATAGAGAACTGATCTTATATATTTATATTGAATTATATTCAACTTTAATTGAAGTCTAGTTAAAATCAGAAAGTTGTAGAGCTTGCAAGTGAACTCTATTAAAATTTCGTTTGTCTTAGCAAGCTTCGGCAAAAAATGAAAGAAAGAATTTTTAAGCATATAGTTTTTAAGTAATGATTTTTTGTTTTATTAATGTTAATTTGTCTTCGAATTTTTGACATGGTTAATATATGATATATAAAGTGTGCATATATTATCCTGTTAAGTTTTTTTGAGTTATTTTCCAACGCAAAAAATGAAGGATGTTTTAGCTTTTGTATTCCCTGTGATAGAATAATAACCGCAATTTTCTAGACATTTAATACTCCATTATTTCGTAGTTTTGCGTCTAATTAAAAACAAATTCTGCCTAAGATTAATTTTACCCTATGACATATACCTATCAATTTTTTGAGTATAATTAGATTTGAATGGTTTTGTAAGATCTAATCGTTTAGTCATACTTTTTAATCCATCAAGGAGGTTTTCCTACGTTAAAAAACTCGATTTTCGTGAAAAAAAAATCATTTTTGAGATTGCCAAGGGCACGAATTCATAAAACCGTTTTGATCAGTATTTTATCCAGATTTTCTCTTCCGGCAGGGCGAACATCTAATTTTGAGGACAAAGACTTATAGCACGTAGTACAATGATTACTAACTCTGGAAGCAGGGGTGGCGCGACCGGGGGGTAGTCGGGGCTGCGACACCCCCCCAATCTTCAAAAATTTCTGTTTTTTTGCTCAACAAAATCAGGAAATTTTCTTCCATTTGTCACCAAAAACAATGTTACACCCCCCGAAAAATTGTAGATTTCGTCTTTCTAGTCCAAAAAATTTCGCTACACCCCCCGAATGTTGGTTGACTCGCGCCACCCTTGTCTGGAAGAGCCAACTCCATCTTTGCAGGAGTGCTACCTTCTCGACTCTGACACTGGATAAAACACTAGTTTTGATTCTCGAAAGTTTTATGAATGAAATTTTGAAACTATAAGAGCAATCAATAAGATACTTTTTCTTTGTAAAGTTAGATCTTCAAACTAAAAGCAAGTTATTTTTAGAAGTAATTAAATCTTGAGGATCTTAGAAATACTCTTTTGTTAGCTCTCCAATGATTTATAGAAAACGGTTGCATAGTCTCTATTACTTATTTCTCTATACAAAAAAAAAAAGTTTGAAGTAATATTCACAGTAGTTCACAAGCAACCAGAATATAAATTCATTCTTTTATTTCATTTCGATTTTGCTTGCCAGAAAAAAAAGTATACAAAGTCTATACTATTTTAATAACTAACCGTCACCATCTGATTCATAAGTATCTTCATCACGTGAAATAAAACTATATAAAATTTCGTCGTTGTTACTATAGTTATCACTGTTTCCATTATCAGCATCTTCATCGTCAATCATCAGCTTTTATGTTTTTTTTTCTTCATCATGTTTTCGTTGTTTTTCTTTTTCTTCGATGTACACCGATAACCGCATCAATTGACACTGTAATATATTTATGCTTCATCTCGATTGTAAGTAATAGTAGAAAGACTATAAAAAAGAAATTGCAATTGTTTCAAAATGATTTTTTTATTCGTTAATGATCGATCAACGGACAAACTTTTTCTCAATATACTTCCTGCCAGAGTTTTGCTTTTTCTTTTTCATCAATGGAAAGATATTTTCTAATTAATTGTTAATGTTAGAGAAACTCGAAAGTTTTCACATTTTTGAAGTTTCAATGGTCCAAAAAATGAAACAAAATAACAATTAAAAAAAACGCAATCTTTTCATCCGAGGTGATAAAGAGTTCTTTTTTACATGGAAAGCAAACGATGCTCAGCAATTTGAAATATATTGATTAAAAATTTGTCCCCATAAAACCTTGTTTTTGCAGCTTGGTCCATGCAAATTTCCTGAACGATAAGGTATGGAAGCATAAAATTGTTTTTTATTAATGTACTTCCATGTGTTGAAAATCTATGCCAAGTTTCATCAATAACTCATGTACTCTGTTGAATTAGGGGAGAGGTACTGAATATCTCATAAATCATGACCATACATATATATATATCAAAAGAAATTTTATGAGAAATGAAAATAAGATATTGAATAAAAACATATGCTAGAGATTTGTACAGTTACTTCTATCCTATTCCGCATATCTTTAACATATTCCTAAAGAAAATAGTAAGCATTCAATAAATTATATCAAGTTTTGTTAAATTTTGAAATATTAGCTTTTTTATATTTTTAAGGCTTTAATTATTTTCAATCTTATTATTTCATTTAATTAATATATCAATGAAATTAGAAGAAATATCGAGTGAATAGAACATGTATAAATAAATCGCGCTTATAATAGTACAATTAAACCAATTATTTATTAATTTTCATCATAGTATTCATTACAAATCTATGCTGTCAGAACTAAAGTACAATGTATTCATTTTAATTATCTATTAGCACGTCGTGTAACTAAAATACAAATTAACAAGATCAATCAGGAAATAGAAACGTCTTCCCCTTAAGAATCAGCAGAACAAAGGCGACTATAAGTTTCATAGTAATTTGTGACTCAAGAACGAGATATGCATAGATTTGTAGAGGAAAACTTCCTCTTATCGAATGGTGTAAAGTACTATCAAGTTCCATTGCGTATCATAGAGAACATTAACTTTGATACATTCTAGTGGAATCTTAACGAAAGTGGCGTCCTCTATTGATTATCTCATTAGTACGCAATAGAACTTGATAGTACATACACCATTAGGTAGATGAAAACTAACTTTACAAATCTAAATATATCCTGTTCTAGGGTCAAAGCCTTACAGCTGTCTTTGTTAGTATTAGTAATTTATCATGAAATCATCGTATGACTAACCCTATGCAATAAAAGAATGTGCCATTTTACAAGGTTAAGACAGACGCCAAAAGGGTGGAGTAAAGCCTCTTGTTTCATATGTTATTAATAGATAAATACTCTTTTCATTCCCTGAAGAATTTATCAAGAAGATTTTTAGTAGATGTGGTATTGGATTCAATTAATTAATCGAAATTAAAAAAACACATGCGATAAAATTTACGATCACAAGACCTTTGCTAATACATATCTACATGTTTTTAGAGAACGCTATTTATTGATAGTCGAAGTAGCTATTATCTCATTATCTATTATCATAGGGAATTTGTTTTTTCTTTTGTTATGTTTTATAAGTTAACGATAAATGAATGTAACCTTGTACTGCGAACTGGATGATCTTGATAATAATAAACACCTTAAAATTCTTTATTCACAGGTAAACAAATAATTTCAACTCTTTTTTCGAGGTTATCATGGAGGAAAAAGCACACTTTTCGTACATATTTCTTGAAAGGAAAAAAAACGTACTGTCAATCAAAAGAAATGCTATGATTCAAGTTCCGTTAGACATTCATAGATCATTACATTATAAATACTGTCTGTGCATTATGTATGTTTGCTCACTATTACTAACTTCAGTTTTTTTTTAAATTTTACGACCGAAAAAAAACCAAATGTTACGATGAGTAAAGACAAATGAATATAATACATACAATAATAAAACGAAAAAAAGCAGAACTTTAATCAAGGTCGTTCATATTTTTCTCTTTAAATTTTTTTGATTGCAAAAATTATGAAGCAAACAATCGGCTACTATCAATGCTCTATTTCTGCCACTATTCTAAGAGGTTATTCAGTTCGAAAATAGATTGATAAAGAATACATGTATAGATTAACGTATATAAAAAGAATGCAGACGAACCCTAAAGTGCATACTCATTGTTTGACTCGAAATTTAGGTGCACCATTTGTTTTATTGAATGTATAAAATAATATCTTCTATGAAATACAATATATTGTGTTAAGTTCCGTGTATGTAGACGTTAAAAAATACTACGTGTTATCTTTGTCTTTATCGTACATACAAGAACTTTTGTTTTTCTACAAATAAATTCAATGCTCGTAAGCTGATTTTTCTAATTTGAAATATATTAAAATAAATCGATTGGTGAACATTGAACGCAATCTTTAGAAATTATGATTGATTCTCTATTACTTTCAAAAAGAAAACATTTAAAGAAGATATCTCTTTTAATTCGTTGTAATAAAGAGCCATCACAATGTTATATGAAGCGCTTTGTCGCAAACATGATATTAGTTTTTTTTTGAAGAATGAAAAAAAACAATTCTGACCGCGTCAATGTGTCTCAATGGCAAAAAAATAAACCACAGAATTGAAAAAAAAAAATTATTGAAATTATATAGCTACTTTATTTTGTCTTCACACTGTTATTTCCTCTGTTTCTTTCAATCGTTTATTTTTCTTTGTCGCTCTTTTTTTGTTCTGCATTTAAGTTCTCATTACCGACAATCTTAGCAACGAGCAGTATATATAAAGCAAAAGATAATTCTCTTTTTTTTTCTTCTTTTTTTTTGCTATTTCTTCAAAATTTTTTTTTAAAGCAAAGGTTGACTACTTCATCTCGTTCGCCATTATTCTCACAACATACGACGTGGTAAGAAAAGAAATACAATTTGTATTACATGTCTGAGTCAACAAATTACAGTATTCATATCTGATACATAAAGAGCTAAATAAATATTAAATCTTGAGAAAAAAACGAACATAATAGCCATTCGTATAAAATACACAATGTTGATTTTCAAACAAAGGAAAATAATAAAACGCAAGATTAACCATTGTGAAAAGAAAAAACAAAAAAAGAATCGCACAATTAACAATTCTGATTACACTACATCAATACAATCATTTAGTTAGGCATTGAAAAGAGAGATATCTGTTTGTTCTCTCTTTTCGATATTGTTATCGATATCCTTGATTTTATGTATTACACTATTGATATGTACGTTATACAGATTTATGTTTGTATATACCAGCAAATTTTGCTATTGTGTATAACGTACAAATATGATCAAAAAAAAAAATCTAAAGGCGACCTACATATAGATGAAAAGAAGAAAGACGAGTATCCATACTTACTTATATTATTCTCTTTTATAGAAAGTGTCTATTTCTTAGTGCATTGGTACACAATTTCATCATTGAAAATATCCAACGATGACTTTACCATCTACTATGTAAGTAAACAAAATTTAACTGAAATAAAAAATATTATTTAAATCGACTAAAACTATTAGTTATTGTTATATTCTTTTGACTGTTATTTGCTTGTTGTTTTGACACGGCTAAATTTATAATCAATTTGATAATATTATCTTATCTTTTTTATTTTTTTTTAGTTATTCACGTTTACTGGTCCGTCATCATTGGTTTGTACTTGCTTTTGTCGTATTTATTTGCATAACACTAACAATTATTGGTCTTGTTTTTACACAATTACCTGATTTTTCTGATCCAAGAATAGTAAAAATCATACGAAAAGAAAAAGAATATACGAAATAAATTATTCTTTACATTTTATAGGGATGGGGAGCACGTGGAAAAGGAACAATATTTTCACAATTAATGGTTTTACGTCATGCATCAGAAAGATTCCGTCTTGCTTATGAAATACCATTAGATACAAGTGAATTATTTGGTGCATTTGCACAATTTGTTAATGTAACTGTTGATCAACTTGATGAAAATTCATATCGATCTGATATACTTGCTAAACATGATTTATGGAAAAAAAAACAATCTAATGAATTATATGATTATAGAAATTTAAATGAATCATTTTATGATAATGATATAGATGACAAGGAAATATTTGATTATAATGATGATGATGATAATGAAAATTCACAATCAGCATTAATTTATCAATGGCATCGTGATCGACATTTTGATATTCAAAATATAATAACAAAATATGTTGATGATAAATTGTACGGTTTTTTTTTCTTGTTTTATTTTATTTTGAATTTTGAATTTGTTTTTTTTAAATGTAGGATTAATATTACTGTAATGGATTTTGTTAAAAATCTACCACAATTTAATAGAAATAATTATCAAGCAAGTCGATTACCATTTGAAATGCTTCGACCATATGCTTATCTATTTGAAGAAAAATATCGTGGTCGATCAGGTAATTCTATTCACCTAGAAAGAAAAATCTTTATAAGCAGGACAACTTAATAAATATTCTTATAGATTAGCATTCAAGATGGATCGTTCGACTTGATATTTAAAGTGATGTTTCTTTCAAATTGCATGAATTTAAATTTCTATCGAGTCACTTAACTCAAAGCTGACTCCTTTCTTTAAGAAAGATTAATACAACTTACTATTGATAAGAACATAGGAAGTTTAAAGTATTTCTTCAATTCAATAACACTCCTCGTTCAGGACTAAAGAGAATATTAATTGCACTAAATAACATGAGTATTATTAAAATAGAGTTGTGTGATTAATAGACTAGAAATTCAAATGTAAGCAACAACTATTATCCGATCCAAAATAAAAGACAGGTTACTACTTTTCACATAACTTTTGATAGGAACGAGATACAAAGCTACGGTTTTCATCATTCGAAAGAGCAATGTCCAGACCATCGATCGGTATAGAACTCATTAAGAGGAAAGATACTTTTTATAGGTACCTTTGATTCAACACATTTTTCTTTGAATATTTTCATTAATTTTCATAATAATCTCAACTCAAATTTATCTCTCAGCCTCTTATTCTAAACGGATTTAAAAAAACAAATGTTAATTTTATAGCGAAAAAAAGGTAATTTGAACTACATTTTGACATAATTTGTGTTAAGATTATTGTGAAAATTAATGAAAACAATCGAGGGAAAAAGTATTGAGTCAAAGGTACCTATAAAAAAGTATCTTTCGTCTTAATGAGTTCTATGCCGATCGATGGTTTGGACATTGCTCTTTCGAATGGTGAAAATTGCAGCTCTCTATCTCGTTCCTATGAAAACTTATTCGAAAAATGATAACCTGTCTTTTATTTTGAAACTGATATTAGTAGAGGAATTGTGTGAACGTATTAAATTCGTAATTACCAAAATGATAAGTTCTCTACAATGTTCTCATCAATTATCGAAATGGTTATTGAATCCCATCATGTAGAAATCTACTTTGCGAAAAAAAAAATATATACTAACAATCGGTTAAAGATCAAATCATCAAAAAAAAGACTGACCGGATTTCGAGACCTACTACACGCTAAGTGCGTACATTCATTAAAAAAAAAACTAAGACAAGTACAATTTTTTCCTTCAATCTTTATTTTTATAAGAAAAGAATTTTATGAATGAACAGTTGATAATAATAATCAAGACATTCATAGGTTGTTAAACAATCAATACATGAGATTGTCATGAACTTGTTTTTTTTTTTTGCATGAAAACTTATTGTATGTTTTCTCAACAATTTGAGTACATTTAATTTACTTAATGATTTGTCTATAAAATCATGCAATATTGTAATGTTTGTAAAGCTCTTTAAAAAATTTGTATTCTTATACTTATTCAAGAGAAATCATTATGAAAATTTTAAGCAATTTAATTCTTTGTAAACAAATCTATTACAACATTTTGATCGAATAATGAATTATATATGTTTGTGTTATGTCAAATACAAGAAATGTTTCTTAATAATGATTTAAACTAGTTCCATCGTGTTTTACATTTTTGCCTTGCAGAATTTTATACATTAGAACTGGTTTTTTCCTTGAGTGACATTCTTTATTGGGCTTTGTCATAATGTGAAAACTCAAACAAAAAATAAAATATTAAAATGAGAAAAACAACTGATTTTAGGGTGTCTATACTTTCCATTTTTAGTAAATAGAAAAAAAAGAATTTCATATACGATAAATCGAAGAATAATTAATTGTTTCGAACATAACTAGTAGTCTTTTCTTCGTCTATGTTCGTTTGATCTTTCGTTCTAGGCGAGAATGTAAAAAAATTAAAAGTGAAAAATAAAATATCAAGAACTTCAAAATTGACTAAATTTAATCTAAATTCATTTATAGGTCATGATGGTATGATAGAATTTTATGTTGAACGTACACAGCCAACCGATGATTTGTTATCTCTTAATCATTTACGTTCCATTTGTAAATGGGAAACAACATATAAACATATTCTATCCCTTGATAATGTTCCAAGTCTTTCATTAGCAACATTTGTTGCATTATATTCATCAAAAAATGATTGTAAATTAATCACAGCTGATGATGTTGAATATTTTCGTTCAATACTTCATACATGTTTACCATATTATATAAATGGTTATATGGATGTACCATTAAGTGATCAATTTCTTAATCGTGTTGTATTACAGCATCAACCCGATTATTATACTTATCAAGAACAAACCAAAGCTATTTATACTGCTGTACGACATACTTGTTTTTATAAAAATATAACACGTTTTATATTTGATCATTTTGTTGATAAAAAATTTATAAATGAATTTCAACAATCAAAAACTAATACAAAACTATCAATATCAATGATATTTATAACAAATTATAATATAATAAAATATAATCGTACACGTGATCAAACAATGTGTTTAAGACGACAACCATATTCAAGAAAATATTGTCAAGAACGTGGTTGTACTGATGATTATAGAAATAATTTTATTGATAAATCATGTGTTGATAATGAATTAAAATTAGATAATTGTGAAAAATATTGTCAATGTAAATATCAATGTCCAAATGAAACTGAACAAGTTATTTTATTAACACCAATTTTAAAAGCACCAGAATTAATTGAAATATTTGCAAAATATTTTGCAAGTAAACGACAATTATCAACATATAAAGATGAATTTATAAAACTTATTGCATTTAATTTTGCTAATGCTAGAGAAAAAGCAGCTATGGCACAAATACATGAAGGTTAGTTTTAATCGTAATCAATTGACAAGAAAGTGGAGAATTTTATAAATGAATTAGAGAAATTTTCCTACATTGATTTTTTTTCAATGTCATAATATAGTGATAGTTTAGATTTCATTCACATTTTACGTACATTTTGTATTCGAATATAACAAAAATTGCAAAACTAGTCTTAAGTTAGATCACAGAATGTTGTCTTCTGAATTCTTGATTTGATCAGAATTGTATTCAAAGAATTGATTGCCATTATGTTTATGAAAAATGGAGAAAATATTTGAAATCATCTTGGTCGTTGCATGCTTATAAAAAAAATTCATCTCAAATAATGAAAAAGTAACTTATGATAATTTCTGTTCAGAATTGATTGAAACGAAAAAAGTCTGATTATCAATTAACAAATAATGTATCATCTTCATCGAGTTACAATCTGATCATAAATAAAAGAATAACCGATTATCGAGAGTATGTTGTACATGTTGAAATTACTGTTAGTCTCTATGAAGATCGAATGAAATTAATTATTAAACTAGTTTACTATAAATACATTAACATAAACTTGTATTTCATCAATAAATTCATTAAACCAAATGAAATGGTTCTAGACACGGGTCTATGATCTGATTGGATTTTGTCAAGTTTCATTAGAATTTATATGCCACAATCACCTTCGTATCTCTGATGTTGAAATTCGAAAGGGTTTCACTAAATCCGATTTTTTTATCAGATTCTCATTGATTTTATGTACAACTGTCAGATCTCACAGTAGTACGATTGGGTCTATTTGGATTAATTGATTTGAGAACTATTAAACTTCTTTTGATTGCGTCAATTATTCATTCTTTATGTACAGGCAAAACTAAAATCAATATTTCGCTTGTTAGTCTTCTGACTAGGAATGCAACGGTGGGTATGGTCATCGATGCACCGATCTAGACATGCACGTATAGACACTAACGGTGAAGATGGTGATCTTAGATTCATTTTGACTTTTCCGGGTCGAAGGGAGATTCATTTCACGAAAATAGCTGAGTTTTATAAAACATGACAGAACAAGTGAGAACTAAGTTTTTCTAAAACGAGAAATTCGGACTCGAGAATTTTGACAAATATTCTATAGATTCAGATCCCTGGGCCCCAAAAGCCTTTAGTCTATTTTTACAAAATCCATCTATTTTCTTGAAATGACCTCTCCAATAGAATTCGGCGGTTCCGGTTGGATTCGTAAAATGTCTCGTGAAACCGAAACGATTAAATCATCAGATAGATATGAAAATGTTAAATATATTAAAAAAACAATATCAGACATATATACTGACATCTTAAATTTCAAGAATGAAAAAAACGAAGATTTCTCGACATAGATTTAAGCATTTTCGTAATAACATGTTTAAATCAGTACAAAGCTATACGTAAAACCAATGCACTAGTGGACGGTGTACTGTCACTATTACATCTTTACTCCTAACAAATCTTTGCACATATTGCATGACTGTTTTCATATTAATGAACTCAATAAACAGTAAAATATTTACAGTTAAAGATGGTTTCAATTGACTGATAATGAACGATGACTTGCTGATTTTAATTATCAACTAATTCGACTACTCTTATACAGTAGAACTAAAATTTCACCAAAAATACTTCTTTTTTTTTGTATTATTCTTTTAACATTGATCTAGAAGAATAGAACACAATCGATTTACTTAAATTATGTAAATAACCTTTTATCATTGATCAAAACGAATAACGTGATATACAGACGAAGCTCTAAAGATTTTGTCCCAATTTTCTAATAGTACACAATGGGCAATTCATATCGAGCACGTAGACATGACTTATTTTCTGTCAAGAACGAATTTCTTTTTCATAAAAATATTAGGTTCTTGTACTCAAAAATAAGATTGATGAAACATCCCTGAGAGAGACTCTAACACTAAACTCTTGTGAAAACAGAAAACTATTTATTTTAAAAATGAACAAATGGTGTATTACTCAATGCATATCTGTCAGATATAGAAAAATATTCTCTAAAAGCTTCGTCGATATCAGATTAGTGGTGGCCAGCTTTACTGAGGACGTTTTTTTCGGAAAACGAATAATTATTTCTTCAGAACAAGAATTTTTCTTATAAATCGATAAAGCCGAAATCGTAGTTTCAGACTATACAGGGTGGTCCAAAAGCAACCTGGCAGTCTTTGATTGCGAATAACTTTTGATAGAAACAAGAGAGAGAGTTGCGATTTTCACCGTTCGAAAGAGGAGATGAAGACGCATGAAATCATATATTATAGATTTTTTTTGTAAGATGTTTTCTTAATCAATTTCCTAAAGAAATTGTTGGAAAAATGGTTTCTAATAAAATAAGAAAAACACCCAAAAATGATTTTTGTCACAGAAACTAATAGAAAAATCTGCTCAGAATTTCGACTGGAATACCTATAAGTTCTGAAGGAGTAACTCTCAAAGTTTGACCTTTGCACAGTTTTGTAGGTTTTCGACTAGCGGTTCCAATGCACATCTGATCATAAAAAATTCAGTGTAGTCATCTTACGAAGTACGTTGCTTTTCAAAAATGTCGATGTAAGTTCTTGAAAAAACTAGATCAAATTATCTTATATTATATGGTTCGATGCGTCTTCAACGGTGAAAATCGCAGCTCTCTATCTTGTTCCTATCAAAAGTTATTCTCAATCAACAACTGCCCGGTTACTTTTGGAACATCCTGTATATATGATGTATTGTCCAACTCTTTTTATTTTTCAGAAAAACAGATGATCTATTCCTCTAAATATGCTGAATTTGCGTTTAAGTTTTTTCAATGAATGTAGCAATTGAAACAAAATTTTTACCCAAATGCCCATGTTATGTTGCTCACTGTATATTTTATCGAAATAATCAGTAATTAGAAATGATTATAGGAACAGTTTCCAAACGGAAGTTTTTTTTTTGTAGTTGATGATTCTTATTGTATACAAAAAAAGAAAAATAGATTAAGTATCTATTATTTAGATATGCTTCTTGTTATAATCGCAGCAGCATTAATTATTGGTATAACAGTATGTTATTTACGAAGTATTACAATAGCTTTAATTATTGTTATTGGTGCTGCATTATCAATTGGTGTAAGTTATTTTGTATATCGTGTACTTTATCGTATACCAATATTTCCATTTATAAATTTAATGTCAGCATTTATATTAATTGGTATTGGTTGTGATGATATATTTGTATTTTTCGATACATGGGATCAAGAAAAAATTGAATGGTTAAGAAAATATCAAGATAAACAACAAACTGATAGTAAATTATTGTTTTTTTTCTTTTTCATTTATTTTAATAGATTATTTATATCATTAAATTTAGATGCAGATAGTTTATTAAATCATACAAATATACATGATATTGTACCTTCAAATCAAAAAGTAAAACCAAGTAAATTAAGAAAACCATCAAATGCATTTCAATCTCGTCATCGTATATGTTTATTTAAACATCCAGAAGAAATTCGTAGATTATTATTACGTGAAGAAGCATTAATAGAAATTATGTCTAATACATTAAAACATGCTGGTTCATCAATGTTTGTTACATCATTTACAACAGCAGCTGCTTTTTTTACAAATATGTTAACTAATATTTCATTTGTACAAGTATTTGGTGTTTTTACTGGTACATGTATTTTAGTCTATTTTGTTATTACAGTTACTGCAATTGCTGCTTTTGCTGTAAGTTAAATCATATTTTGGATTGAGAAAAGAAAAAAAAACAAAACATTTGATTTCGTTTAGTTTGATGAATTATTATTGTTTCTTTTTTTTTTTTCATATTGAAGGTTATTTATGAAAAATATATTCAAAATATAATATCTCGTATATGTTCAATGCGTTGTATTGATATTGTTAATAAATCATCAAGTAGTAAAGTATCAAAATTCTGTCGTCGTTGTACATCAACTTGTCGAGATTTTCGAAATTATTTTTTTGGTCATCTAATGCCATTACTTATTATTAATCTACGTTATATTTTTGTTTTAATTTTTTTTCTTATGGGTATTTTAGGTTAGATCAGTGTTTTTTTTTTTCTTTAAATTTTTCAATTAAATTTTTTTCTTTTTTGTTAATTTATCTATGTAGGTTTTATTGGTATTTTTTATTATCCAAAATTACATGTACCATCAACACAAAAAGTTGCCTTCTTTTTAAAAGATAATCCAATGGAAATATATGAATTTTCAATGAAAAGTCAATTTAATGGTTATTCAAAAGAAGATAAACGTTTATTTGCTTATCCAGCTGTTTCATTTATATTTGGTATACATGATATTGATGATGGTTATATATTTGATATGAATGATCGTGGTCATTTATATTTAACACCAATTCATTTACATCGACAAACAACACTTGAATTTTTTAAAAATTTTATAACACATTTAGGAACACGAAAAGATTTATTTACTTCAAATTATGATTTAGAAAAAGATTTTGAATCTTTTTATCAAGTAAATCTTTTGTTTGATCTTTTTTTGTTAATTGATTATTATTATTTTTTTTCTTCTATAGCTTACAACAGATAATATTTTAATAACTAAAGTTGTTGATGATCGAGCTAAATTAAATGTATCAAAAACAAATCAATTAAATATGATTAAATATCTAAGAAAAATAAATAAAACTTTAATAGAAAATTTAATTTCTGATACAGTACGTACAATTGATTATAAAATTGAAAATGATCAATCAGATCATGATGATTATATTGACACAAAATTAGATCAAATCAATTTAACTTTATATAAAATAAGTAATAAACAATTAAAACATCCAAGAAAACCAATTATTATTTATTCAAATTATCGAAAATTATTTAATAGAACATTAAAAAGAATTTATAAAGAACAAGTTAGTTTAAAACGATACTTTTGTTTGTTTGTTTTTTTATTTGTTATTAATTATAATAATTAATCATAGATTCAACATAGTTATGATTTTAATGAAATTCGTATATCTATAAATGGTACATTACGTGATGTATTGACTGAAGAATATCAAGGTTCAGCATTGAAAACAGCTATGCAATGTTTGACAGGTGCAGCTGGTGCTAATAATGTACCAGCTGATTTTTGTAACAAACAACTTACGAAACAACGATCATTTAATTGGGCAGTTTTACCTGATAAACCATCGCCAATTGATGGAAGTGTTCGACCATTTGCAGTTATGATCACTATTCGAGGTAACAGATTTCTACAAATTAAATTTATAGTAGAAGGCTATATTAAGAGGAATCTAAATATGTTTATTACCATTGAAAACTTGTTACGGCAATAGAAAAATAAAAACTTTCGCATCCTGATGAACTTCTCTGACAGAATCTATTGGTACATGAATGTCTTGAGAAAGATAATTAGGGTTATAATTTCATCTAAAAGTGTCGATTTACTCGACTAATGAATGAAGTCTTCCTACTAACAAATCACTTTTGAGTTGAGACTATGTGTATTCTCTAGACCCTAGTAAGCTATCAATACGCTGAGCAGAGTGCGTAGCTTTAGCTTATTGCTGCAGAGATATTGTATCTTTGCGAAATTTTTTAGCAATGCCATGATCTCCTAGACATGTTTGTTTTCTAATTTCAACTTGGAATTTTGTATATAGACAGGTCTTAACAATAATAGTTTATTGTGAAAGTTTCACGTCTTTTGATTTAATTTCATTCTGAAATAAGAACATTAAGTCTGTCGGATTATACGAGCAATATAGAAGACACGCTATTATCATAGTTGTATTTTAGGACAGAAACGACAACAAGATCTGAAACATTCATAATAAACGATTCTCGTTAAGTCTTGTCTCTATGCAAAATTTCAAGTCGAAATTCGAAAATTAGTTTTTCTTGTGTTCCTACATTCATTTAAAAATTATCGTAAAAGTATAATATCTCCACAGCAATAAACTAAGAGCACGAACTCTTTTCACATTATTCATAGTTCATTTGAGTCTGTATAATGTACATAGTCTTGACTCAAAAGTAATTAATCAGTTGGAAGATTTCTTTCCGTAAGACAAACATCGAATGATTTGTCCAATACCTTTTCAGAACTAGAAAACGATAATATATTTTTGAACACATAAATTTAATGACTCACTGGAAATCCTTGGTAAATAACAATTTTTCATTTAATATAAAATTCATTTCTATACGTTTAATAACTTTAGTTTGGACTAGAGATGTATAAAATCAAGTTATGGTTCTATTGATTTTAATTTTTCGTATATTGATCTCGATCTAGAGAAAACTATTTCTTACACTTATGAAATTTTTTATTACAATTTTGAATTCTAGTTTTTATATTCATTATCATTAAATTTTTGTTTTCAAGATTTTCATTTTTTATCGAATAAATATCTATGTCTTATTTATTTAAGGTGCCCACAATCGTACAGATTATGATTCTTATAATAAATATTATCTCAAAATAAAAAATTTCTTTGATCCATATATAAAACAATATGCACCAGAACATTTAAAACATGCTTGGTTTTCTTCACCGGGTTTTGCATTCTATGGTATTCAACGTGAATTACTTGTTGGTTCCTATTCTTCTCTTCTAGCATCACTTGGTATTGCTCTATTAGTACTATTTCTTACATCAGGCAATTTATTTATTGCAGTCTATGCTTTAATTACTATTACTTTTGCTATTGGTAAGTATCTATTGATTTTCTGTGAAACACGATCTAAAAGGAGTGTTGAAGTATAGAAGTAGAAATTTGGATGCCCTCTCCAGACCGTGGGAACTAGGGAGCCGGAAGACCACATATTTGTGAACCCAGACCCGAGTTTTTTTCCCTCAATATCTGGCGTCCTCTGTGTATATGAACAAGTGAAGGATCAAACTTTAAACTATTTATTGGCTACTCTTAGGAAAAAAGTCAGTGTACAGTTATTTCGTGTTCTTCACTTTTCCATCACTCGATCTAAACATACTTTTTGTTGTCAAAATAAAAAAAACCAAGTTTCCAATGCTCGAACAGGTATCAGCTAGTTTTATGCATTTTCTAAAAATGAATCAGCTATTTCAAATCGAGTTAAGCATGAAATTAAAGTTGCTTGCATGGAACTTACGGCACTTCACTGTCGACCATTGAAAATAATTAATGATGTTGATTTTAAAATCTTTAATGCTGGCCAATACTTATAGGGAACTTCGGATTCACGTTTTTGTGAACCGAGTCTGTGATCTGGAAGAATCGGCAACTCCCTACTGGTAACCCATCACAGACCGTGACAGTTGCTGTTGATATACGATCAAAGATTGAATATCAATAACGTATCATTACTATTTTCTTTTGTCATTTCTGGAGAATTAAGTAGAAAAATGATGAAGAAATGTGTCTCGAAATGGATAGAATAAAATAATCTTGCACTAACATCTTGCTTGTTATTTATAAAATAAATTTATTTTTTGTTTTAGCTGTTAGTGTTGGTATATTTGCTATATTAGAATGGGAATTAGGCATTGTTGAAGCTATTATTGTCATTATGTCTGTTGGTCTATCAGTAGATTTTGTTGTTCATTTTGGTGTTGGTTATATTCATACAGATTCAAAAGATATTGATTGTGAAAGAAAAAAAATTGAAAATCATTATTTATTACAAACATCTAAACCTGATGAAAATGAACATGATTATAGTAAGTTCGTTTATTCGAGTATAATCAAAAATATATTTAAGATTTTCATCTATAGAAATAAGTACTTGGCGTGTTACATATAAAGAACAACAAGTCGAACGTGAAACACGTGTAACAGAATCGGTATCACGTGTTGGTTCGGCTGTATTTATGGCTGCTTTTACAACATTTGCTGCTGGATTTTCAATGACACTTTCATCACTTTGTGCATTTCGACAAATGGGACAATTTTTAATGACAATAAGTATGTTAAACAAAATTAATTATTAATTTTCAATTCGTTTCGTTTTTCTTATTTTTTTTTTGTTTTAGTGTTAACATCATGGAGTTTTGCAATGTTCTTCTTTTTACCATTATGTGCGATTATAGGTCCAGTTGGTACTTGTGGTTCAATTCCATTTTCACGAATTATTAAATGTTTTAAACGATCTTCACATGAAAACTCAGAAAAAAAAGATATCGATCAGATTTAAGTTGTTTTATTGTTTCTTTATAAATTCTAGTCAAGCTCATAGAATAAATCTTATTTAATATTTCATTCACTGTCCAAAAATAATTTTTATCCTTTTGTCAGATTGAATAATTTTATTTAGAACGAATTATGTTTCTCTATCTATCTATCTGACAACGATATATAACCCATTTATTTATTTCTTTGTTTTCTTACACATGTAATGTGCATTAATGTATTAGAAAAAAACAGAAAGAAAATCGAATGAAAATAAATATTACTTTAAATCAGTTATAAAACGTTTATTTGGTCCTTTCTTCTTTTCTTTTTTTTTTTTGCGTTTCTTGAAAAGTTGTATGTTGATTGATGATGTTGATGATGATAATAATGTTGCCTTGTGTTATCGTTCGTTCTACCTATGTCAGCGAATTACACTAACAACATCATAATCGGTATTTTTGCTTCGTTCCGTCGAAAGAAGAAGACAAGAAAAAGAAAGGAAAGAAACAGCCTTTCAATTATATTGAAATATATTCATAGTCATTGATACATATATTCATGGGGACCAATAAAAGTGTCTTATTACCTCCAGATCAAGTACAATTGATTTGTAGTGAAACAGGTAAATCTAAATATTATTTCTTATATGATATTTTACTATAAAATTTATTTTATTTTAGGCTTTACACCTAAACAACTTCGACGATTGTATATTCGTTTTCAAGAACTTGCAAAACGAAATCCAACAGGTGGATATCTGACACGTGAAGATTTTTTAGATATACGTGAAGTAGCATTAAATCCGTTAGGAGAACGTCTTGTTGATGTTATCGTACAAGATTATGGTTAGATTTTATCTTTTTTTCTTTTTAAAATATTATATTTCATAAAATATTGTTTTTTTTTGTTATAGGTGATGCAAATAAAATTAATTTTCGACAATTTGCTAATGTACTTGCTCGATTTCGTCGTGGCAAAGCAACAACTGATTTAAATACTAAAGAGAAAAAATTATTATTTTTATTTAGTGTTCGTTTTATTGAATAGTATTGATTAAGAGAGAAAAACAATTATTTTTTTTTTGTTTTGATTTTTCAATAGATGTACGATCGTAATCATGATTCGAAAATTGATCGAAATGAATTATTGGGAATTTTAAAACTGATGGTAAGTAAAACAACCAACAAATACAAAAATTGTATTTTTTTTTTTATTAAAAAACAAAAAAGGTCGGTGGAAATATTCATGATGAACAAATAGCAACAATTGCTGATCATACTATTGGAGAATTGGTATGACTTGTTCTAAATATTATATTATATCTTCTATGTTGGTTTATTTGTAGGATGCTGATGGTGATTTAACTATAACATTCGAAGAATTTTGTGAAACATTATCAAGAATTGATGTTGATGAAAAAATGTCAATGAAATTTTTAAATTAAATTTGTTTTTAAATATTTTTCTCGTTCATTTTATTGATAAAACTTATGCATGCTTCTTTTGTTTTTTTAATAATAATAATAATAAAAATTTTAAAAATAAAACTGATTATTTTATCGTTTTAATATGACTAATGAATTGATAAAAGAAAAAAACGAATTTAAATAAAAAGAAATAGTTTATACTCTAATGAGAAATAATAGAATATTCTATTCATGCATAGATTTTCATTGATCATACTGTAAAAAGTTTACAAACTAATATTATAAAATAAAAAATTCATTAGAACAACTATAATCGATTTTTGGAAAAAATGGTCCTTGAGTGCATTTCAGACTCAGATTGTTTATTGTGTTTGCTATAGCAATCTACGAATCATCTTTAATATGAGATTTCTTCATAGATGAAAAATCAATTTTGCAATATTTTATATTCAATTTATATCAGATTGAATATACATTATTCATTTTTTTTTTCAAAATCTCTTCGAAACTGCATGATTTAATGTTGAAATTAATATATCATATTTTAATTTTAGAGTCAAATGACTCCAGAAAATAATGAAAACTCTACTTCAATTGATTTAAGATATTGGAAAATATTTAGTTAAAAATTCATTAATCGATTCGATCTCTTTTGATTTCTTAACAAATTTAGTTTCACTCTGTAAATATATTACTGCCACTATGTTATTCATTTTTTGTAAGTAAAGAACATTTCTAGATATCATTTAATGTCTTCCAAATTCTTTTTAAAACATATTCAATTAATAACATTTGATGTTCACAATGTTCTTTTAACAGTACAAAATGGTGCTCCTTATCAATATGCTCGTTTAGCTCGTCAACATTTGAATATTGAATCTTTTGATGAATCATTACTTCGAACAAATTTTATTCAAGCTTTTCGAACATTAAATAAAATTCATCCAGGTTATGGTGTTCATACAAATATATCATCTCGTCAATGGTGGACATTAATAATTGAATATACATTTAAAGATTATCAATTATCATCAATACAAATTGAAAAATTAAGTAAAATAATTTATGATGAATTTGCTCAAGGTTATATGTGGATAAAAAATTTACAAGCAGATTATATTTTAAAAAAATTAAAACAAAAAAAAATACTTGGTATTATATCAAATTTTGATGAACGTCTTGAATCACTTCTTGAACAACATAATCTTCGACAATATTTTCAATTTATTTTAACACCACGAAATTGTGGATTATATAAACCACAAAAAGAAATTTTTTCTTATGCTACAAATTTAGCAAATATTCAATCAAATAATAATCTATGTCATATAGGTGATGATATTAAACTTGATTATCATGCAGCACAAGCAGCAAATTGTCATGTTTTATTACTTAGTAAAGATGAAAAATCAAAGAATATTTTATTAAATGAACATAAAGATATTGATAAAAATCATGTTATTTTAAATCTTGATGAATTATTAAATTTATTTATTTAGAGATCTATGAAAATTTTTATCAAATGAAATTGTTAAATTTTTATTCACAGATTCATATTTATCAAGAAATGAAAAGTTCATCAAACATTTTTTCGATATATTTTCAATATTTCAATTGATACTATTTGATTTAGTAATTCAAGGTTTTCATATATTCATTGAGCAAATTCTCTATTCTCACATTCATGTATCACCGATAAACTGAACAAATATTCATGTAAAGTTTGCATATGTACATAATTTAATAGGTTCATTTGTTTGAATTTCACTTTCAAAGACCTTGAAACAAAAATTAACAAGTGCTGATACAATTTTCATGCAATATCTCATATGACTTCTAAGATCCTCCATCTTGGAGGTTCATCATCACTATTTTTAATTCACTAATACTTCATCTATTCTGCACGTTGATGTATTCGTCAACTCTGTTGTTTACGAAGAAAAAAAGGAATTCATTTTACTGTCAAAATTGTAACAGCATATATTGAAGTGATCGTTACACAATAATTTTCACATAAACTTTTAGAAAACATCAGCCATGACAATATGACATTTGATGCAAGTTTTACAAGGCCATAAAAAAAAACATCACTTCCACTGAAAAAGTGTTCGTTTTGGTCCCATTCCTGTCTGGAGGGACGTTAAACTCGAAAAAGTTCACCATTTTTTATTGTCTCCTCCATAATGATGACTCTAAAACTCTACATTTATGTTTCTCACTCTAAGTAAAATCTCATTAATATTAAGATTTATAACGTAGGTTTGAATGTACTAAGTAGTATAATTGGATGAGAAGATTCACAGGCACACTCACACCCCATCCTCTATATTTATAGTTTCTGTTATGATATATAGAGTTTTATGGCAATTTGTTGCCAAAAAAAACTATATTCTTAGTAGAGTAGGATCATAAATGTAGAGAAAATATAAAAAATTTCTTCCAACTGGACACTGCTGTAATTTCGAACTACAAAAGAAAAGTGAATTATACAATACCGAAGTGCTAAGAAATGTTGATAATACAATTAATATTAATCTTAGATCATGTTTTAATTGTCAGATAGCAACAGATGATACTCGCATTGTTAAATTTTAAATGAATATTTTGTTTTGTGCGAACGTGATTTAGTTGTCTCGTAAAAAGTTAGTAATAATCTAAATAGAATTTTTCGATTATTTTTCTACTCATTTCTGAAAGCTAAAATCATTGATACGAGCACAAATTTTTTTCATATGATGTGATTCAATAAAATCATAGAATTATTTTTTGTTTGTCAACGAAAAATCATCATATACAAACGACATCTAGTGAAAATGAAAATTTCAATAAAATTTTTTTTTTCTAATATCAAATTACAAAAACATGACAAATTTTTTTAAATAAAATCTTTTTAAAATAATTTTTAATATATTAAAAATAAATCTTCAACTCGATCGTTCGATCTCATTTGTTTAAAATGTTCATTGGTTAAATGACCATCATACCTTTCGTATGTAAAATAAAATAAGAAATATTTTGTTTATTTGTTCTGTTGACTAGTGTAATTTAAATTTAGTTTCTTTTTTTTTTATTTTAGAAAATTCAATTAAGAAATTTTTTCTTTGTATTCTAGATTTTTCTTTCCAACAGAAAAAAATTATGTCCAACGAACATCTTGTTCTAAAAGGCGCTCTTGTTGGTCACAATGATTGGGTTACACAAATCGCAACAACACCTCAATTTCCCGATATTGTCCTCTCGTCATCACGGGATAAATCAATTATAATATGGCAATTAAATAATCAACATGATCCAACTGGTGAAACAACATCATGTGGTGCACCAAGTAAAGCATTACGTGGTCATTCACATTTTGTTTCTGATGTTGTTATATCAAGTGATGGTCTTTTTGCTGTTAGTGGTTCATGGGATGGATCACTTCGTCTTTGGGATTTATCAGTTGGTACAAGTACACGACAATTTGTTAGTCATAAAAAAGATGTTTTAAGTGTTGCTTTTTCGGCCGATAATCGACAAATTGTTAGTGGTAGTCGTGATAAAACAATTAAATTATGGAATACAGTTGGACAATGTAAAACAAAAAAACAATTCGAGTTTTGAAATTAGCAAAAAAAAAAAACATTATTTTTTTTTTAATTTAGGCAAATATACAATTGTTGATGATAATCATACTGATTGGGTTTCATGTGTACGTTTTAGTCCTAATCAAAAAGATCCACTTATTGTTTCAGCTGGTTGGGATAAACTTGTTAAAGTAAGATATGAAAATTTTTAATAGAAAAAAACAAAAATCTTTTTTTTTTGTTTTTAATTATCATAAAAGGTTTGGAATTTAACCAATTGCAAATTACGTACAAATCATTATGGTCATAATTCATATATAAATACTGTAACAGTATCACCTGATGGTTCATTATGTGCAAGTGGTGGTCGTGATGGTCAAGCTATGTTATGGGATCTTAATGATGGAAAACATTTATATACACTTGATAGTGGTGATATTATTAATGCTTTATGTTTTTCACCTAATCGATATTGGCTATGTGCAGGTACACAAGAAAAAAAAAATCATTGAATATATATATATAAATTGAATTGATTTTTCTTTTAGCAAGTGGAACATCTATTAAAATTTGGGATTTGGAAACAAAAACAGTGGCCGATGAAGTTAAATCCGAAAAACAATGTACATCATTGGCATGGTCTGCTGATGGTCAAACATTGTTTGCTGGTTTTACGGACAAACAAATTCGAGTATTCGAAGTCCGACCACGATAAATTAAACAAAATGACAACAATAATAAAAGAAGAATATGTAATATCATTAATAACAATAATATTGTTTTTGTATGATCGATTAATTTTTAATCTTCTTGTTTTTGTTGTCAGAAAAAAGAAAAAGAATAAGAAAATGATTTATATCTATTATTAGTAAAATGGCTTTTGAAAATAATTCAACAAAAGATTTTCGTTAGCCGAAATAAAACGAAAATAATGTTATTTAATATATATGAAATATTTTTTCTTTTACTACAGAAAAATATTTATCATAATTAAAACAAAATGTTCTTTAACATTAAATTCAAAAAAAGAATAAAAGATTTAGTCACAAGAATACAATAATAACGAAACAAAGAAACCTATGTTCTATTTTGAATCTTTATAATGTGATCTTATTGAGAAATAGAAAACATTTAGTTCTAAATAGACATAATATGTCAGTTTACTTGAAGTCAATAAGTTTTAATCATAGTAAAATAAATAGTCAAGATAATAACTTAACATAACTTTGGCAGTTGAAAATTCTAACCAACTGACGTGCTGTTCTTAGTAATAATCTTTTCTCTAAGTCTTCGAAAAAAAAAACGGAGCTTTGAAAGACTAAACATTAAAACAAAGATAATAAAATAATAATTATTACACTCGTGTTCATCTTGAAAAATTGAGTGTCTTTGCTTTTTCGTTTTTTCTATTCGATAATCTTTCTAAAAAAAATTTTATATGCCACGGGCAGGAAT